CCCAACCCTCCCCAGCCTTCCCGCTGTAGTTTGACAGTCTGTTCGATGCTGCTCTGCCTCTGTATCTATTTTTGTTCATCAGTTTATAAGGACCATCAAAGGATTTACTGCCTATGTTTTCTTCTAGCATTTTTATGGTTTTGGGTCTTACATTTAAGTCTTTAATCCATTTTGAGTTTATTTTTGTACATGGTGTAAGAAAGTTGGTCCAATTTATTTTTGTACTATTTGTCCAGTTTTCCCACTGCCATTTATTGAAGCAACTATCTTTACCCTCATTGTATAGTCTTTCCTCCTTTGTTGTAGATTAGTTGACCATATCAGGATTTATTTCTGGACTCCCTATTCTAGTCCATTGATCTATTTTTATGCCAGTACCATACTGTTTTGATTATTGTAGCTTTGTAATATAGTTTAAAATCAGGCTTGACTGGGGCTAGAGGATCTGATTCCAAGATGGCTCACCCATGTGGCTATAGGCACAAGGGCTTATTACTGGATTTTGGCAGGAGGTCTCAGTTTTTCATCACACGAGTCTCTCCAAGGGATGCTTGGCTATTCCATGGCTTCCTTCAGATTGCGTGAAGAGTGAAAAAGGCAAAAGCCACAATGTATTTTATAATCCAGAATTGGAAATCATATACCATCATTTATGCCAAATTCTGTCGGTCACACAGACCAACCCTGATTCAGTTTGAGAGATGACTACACAAAGGCTAAATACCAGAGGTAGGGATCATTGAGAGCTATCTTGGAGACTGGCTCCACAAATAGCTTATTGTAGTGTGGACATATGGGAAATTTTGTTGTAACAGCCATAGGTGTGTATATTGGAGACTAAACTGAATTCAGAAAATTTCAAAAGGAAATTGTTTTTTATACACTCTAATAAAAGGGTTTTCTATCATTCTGAGCCCTAAGCCTGTTTCTTCACTTTCCACTTCAATATATAAAGGTAAATAGATGAACATCTCTAAGTTGGTTGAAATATGAAAAAAGCTTTCTAAAACGGATCCATTTCACCTTTTTTTTTCTTGCTTCTCCTGATCTGTAGACCTTGTATTCATGTATGTAAACTTTTTCAATCCATGCTCTGATAAATATAAAAATGTCATACCTTCCTTTAATGTTATTTTAAACATTAGATATGTGACTAAAAGCAAATCAAATATAATGGTAATTTTTTAAATTAATTGGGGTAACACTGGTCAGTAGGGTCATACAGGTTTCAAGTGTACATTTCTATGATACATAATCTGTATATGGCATTGTGTGCCCACCACCCAAAGTCAAATCATTCTCCATCACCATATATTAGGCCCCCTTTATCCTTTATTCTCCCCATCCCCCTTTTCTCCTTTGCAACGTGGTTTAGCCGCTCTTCCCAGCCAGTGGTGGAACCTGTTTGTCCACGCCCTTGAATCTGGGTTTTGTGGCTTCTCTGACTCCCAGAATGTGGTGGAAATGATGATGTACAAGTTCCAGAGCGTAGGCTTTAGGAGGCCTTCAAGCTTGTTTTCACCCTCTAAGAACACTGCCCCAGGGCTGCCCTGGAATACAGAAGCTCTAATAGCTTCCTGGAACAGGGAGGCCACGTGGAGAACTGAGATGCCCCAGCTGCCAGCCAGCACCAGCTGCCAGCCATGTGACTGAAGCCATTTTGGACCTTCCAAACCAGTTGAGCCTCCAGCTGACTGCAGCCGCATGAGTGAGTCCAACCCACAGAATCATGAGAAATAATAAATCATCATTATTTTAAGCCACTACAATTTGGGGTGTCTTGCTTTGCAGCAATAGTTAACACAACTATACTCTGGTGTGATAACAGGTGTGTAAATAATTTGGGCGAAAAAGTAGAACTTGAGAGTACTTGAATAGATAAGATCCTTTTATTTAAATAAACACTTAAAAAAAAAGGTAATCCTCACCCAAGGACATGCTTAGAGAGAAGGAGAGAGAAGCATCCACATGAGAAGGACCAATCAGCTGCCTCCAGGGATTGAACCAGCAACCTAGGTATGTGCCCTGAGCAGGAATCGGTACTGCAACCTTTGGGTGCATGGGACAACACTCAGCCAACTGAGCCACTCTGACCAGGCTAAAGTCTATTAACAGCACTCTGTGTCAGGCATTGTGCTAGGCATTCTATATATGTTGTCTCATTTTTATCTTCAAAACAACCCTATTAAGTAGAAATTAATAACCTCCTTTTGCTTAAGATCACACAACCATTGACCATTTGAACTTGTTTCAAACCCAGGTATACCCGACTCTAAAAATTGTTTTACCATTATCTTGCCTTCCCATAAGAAAGAAAAAGTCTCAAATAATTTACAGATTCAATAAAAGGCACAAAAATAAATATATATTGGGATTTTTAATTAGTAAATCTGGCTGCAAATAAAAAAATGACACCTTTTACATTAATATACAAATTAATATGAAGGATGACATAGTAGAGTCATGTTTTTATGCATCTCCTCTGTTAAATACATAACATGATATATAAAGTGGGAAATAAGTGCCCTGGCCAGGTGGCTCAATTGGTTGGAGCGTCGTCCCATATACCAAAAAGTCATGGGTTCAATTCCAGTCAGGGCACATACCTAGGTTGCGGGTTTGATCCCCAGGGAGGGCACATATGGGAGGCAACAGGTTGATATTTCAATAAATAGCTGAGGATTAAAATGTGAAATAAGAAAATTAAAAAGACATTCATGGACTTAAGAATACAAACACACACACACACACACACACACACATAAACCAAGAAAGTATGGGAACCTCTGGGTTATCTACTTTTCCATTTTTTAAATGCACCCCAAACTTTCCATAGTTTTTCAGTATGATATATGAATCATACTGAAGGATCCATCTCTCCAATTGGGGGTATATGCCTCTTATTGAGAGGGGGTTAAAGAAATTTTTAATTTTTAAAAATTTCTTCCTTCATCTGCATTTGATGTATGTAAGCAGATTACTGCAGAAGTAATTTTTGAATTACAGATATTTTCAAGGTTTTGATAGGAAATACCTAAGTGCCTGCCTTAAAGGTAACAAAATAGAAACAGTTATCTTCCCAGTCCAATGAGGAGTCGTACTGTGGCTAGAGAAGGAAAGATACACTCCAATTCCTAGCTCCACAGACCATTTCATAAACTGTAAAAATGACAATGAGACATCAGAGCCACTCAACACATGTGTAGTCGGGAGTGCTTATCTGTCTAGACCAGAGAATTCAATACCTTCTACCATCTCCCGTCACACATCCTAGGGCAGTGATGGCGAACCTTTTGAGCTCGGCATGTCAGCATTTTGAAAAACCCTAACTTAACTCTGGTGCCATGTCACATATAGAAATTTTTTGATATTTGCAACCATAGTAAAACAAAGACTTATATTTTTGATATTTATTTTATATATTTAAATGCCATTTAACAAAGAAAAATCAACCAAAAAAATGAGTTTGCGTGTCACCTCTGACACGCGTGTCACAGGTTCGCCATCACTGTCCTAGGGTAAGTCATGATGCTTCTGATTCCTCCTCACCTTTTTTTAAAAATATATTTTATTGATTTTTTACAGAGAGGAAAGGAGAAGGATAGTTAGAAACATTGATGAGAGAGAAACATCGATCAGCTGCCTCCTGCACACCCCCCACTGGGGATATGCCCGCAACCAAGGTACATGCCCTTGACCGGAATCGAACCTGGGACCCTTCAGTCCGCAGGCCGACGCTCTATCCACTGAGCCAAACAGGTTAGGGCCCTCCTCACATTTTCTATCCCAAAAGGAGTTTCCTATAACTCAGACCCCCAAC